TTTATGAGCCAACATCTGCTTTGCGCTAGAAAAAACCCAGCTAATTGCCTGCCATTAGATTGGCTTAAAAATCTATTTTGCGATGGCCAACTGCAAGTGCAACTGTCATTGAGTTGGATGACCAGCTGGCAGTTTATCCCTGACGGTTATGTCAACTAAATGCGTAAGCTTATTTTGCATTCGCCATGACACTCAATTAATGGCGACGGGGCAGTCAGGAGGGAGGAGTGCCAAAGGACCAAGGACAGCAGTCCGAGGACCGAGGACCAGGCATAATCCTTGCCCACTTTCAATGGCTACAACTTAATTATGTGGAAGCCCTAAGAAAGACAGCCGAGCACTTGACGCTAATGCTGGGGCCACTTGAATCTCAAATCCTCGCTCGCCAACAACCAAGATGGCTGAATTAAGAGGAACCAAATACAGGATGTCATTAGCTGGGGTTCACTGAGTCTCTGATACTCTTCCACAACTAAATTTATTAATTTGACATTTTATTACACAATTAAATAAAAGAAGATGGGAATAAAAAATATCCACATTAACCAGAAATTTATTGTAGATATATGAAGGTTACTTCAAAAAAGCTTTAAAAAATCTTCGCATATTATAAAATTATATTAAATATAATTTATATTTTTTATTATATAGTCTCTAAATAATCCTTTAAAAGAAGTGTAAGCTTACCAGCTTCATAAAAAATTAATATATCATTTTCTTTAATGCTTGTCACAATTCCCTGATAGTCCCAAAGGACCCTCTATAAGGGCATCAGAAAAGGACTAAGAAAACACAACTTAAGTGCTTCATTACGATTTTAATTTGGCATTTTACCTGCCCGAACACCCCCGCCCTTCGGGCCGACTTCGTCGCCAACTTGGTCTTCTTAATTAGAACAATTTGCGAGGACGACAAGTGGTCTTAGCATAAACTTGAGTAAATGACGCAAAAATCGCGAAAGCCAGCCATTGTTGTCCTGGCCATTTTGTGTAAATGTTCAATGCAAATAGTTTGCCAGACAGATTTTCGGCTAGGCCGTCTTTTTGCCTATTTACAGCGCGAAGTTAATTGAAATTTCATACCAAAGCCGGCAAGAACAATGGCTCAAAACGCTTTATTTGACAAAGTAATTAACTCTGAATAATGTGCCGGGAAATTGCTGTCGAGTGGGTCATAATTTGCGAGGCGCTGCAAATTCCTTTTGTTAATCAAACGGCGAAAAGAATCGTGTGCCTTCGCGTGGCCCAATCAAATGATATCGATCAGTGGGAAAGCGAAAGCTGGCAGGAAAATGAAAAGTTCACACCAGCAAGCAACAGTTTGACTTATGGGCCATGGCTGGGTGGATAGATACAGGGAACTGTCCTTTGCCAGGGGTAAGTGGAAATGGCCCTGAAGGATGATGACCAACTTGTTGCTCGGCCATGTCAAAAGGCAAAAGCCAAGGAGAAGTACGCACATTGCGTGGCTCCCTTGGGGCTTCGGCTAGAACAGTTTAGGAAACCTCTATAGGGCGGTGATCAAGGGATTTGGCCATAAGTCTATAAAGAGAGGGGAACGCTATTTATGGGTTTACTTTTTAAAAAATATACCTTGGACTGGGTAAAAAGCTTGAATGATTTTATAGGTAATTTTGCGAAGACAACGAAATAAATATGAAATATTAAGTAGTGTTTGTCATTATAAAAATCACCCTTACAAGTTTTTATTAAACTAAACACATACATTGACTAAAAACGGAAAGATAAATTAGGTCTCGCAGACAGAAAGATAATTAAAGACAATTAGAACCTTAAGCATAGAACTAGCAACCTTGTCCAACTGAGCTTCCTACTGTAACTTCGATCCTTTTGCCTTTCTGCTATTAAAACCTATTTTTGTCTCAGCTAAATTCCAAATTCGCAGAAATAAATCTCAATTTTCTAGACTGGCCATCGGAGGACGCCTTATTTGTAGCGCAGCTCAAACACAATTAGGCGAGCGTGGAAAAACCAGCACAGGGCTCCTTCGACAAGGACCAAGAACCAAGAACCAAGAACGAAGGACCAAGGACCTCAGGACTATGATGATGGGGGCGTGGCGAAACTTTTCGCTTTGGTAAGCAACTGACGCCATTTTAATAACGCAAATTACAGTCAGCGTTGTATAAATTTAGTTCGCAATGGGTGGTTGTGGATTCGCGAGGGTGGTTGGGTGGGTGATATGGTGGTGCTGGATGGTTTTGTGTGGTGCTGGTGCTGGGCAACTGTTGCTGGCACATATTGCAGCTGTTGTGGAATGTTGACGCTGTTGTTTTCGCTGTGGCTGCCAGCCAACAATGGCCAAAAACAACGCAAAATAGATGCATAAATTGCCATGGCTATAAGGCAAGTTATTAAAGGTAATGGCTTACCTTAATTGGAGGAAAATATGTATGCGACCTGGCCAACGATTCAAGAGGGACTTTAAGCCCTTCGATGACAATCGGTGAATGGCAATTTAATTTTCAAACAATAGATGATTACCTAAGCTTAATACTGCCAGAGAGCTGTGTGGCTGGATACTTAAGCCCTTAATTAAACCAGTGAATGGGATCATTTTCATAAAGGACTAGCTAAAGTCAGTCAAAGCTGATTGGCAATGACCGCTTTCATAAGCTCCTTTGAGGAATGATTACTGAGTGCATTTTGTGAGCTTGGAAATCTAAGAGAACTTTTAAAGCCGAATAGTACACAATTTGACAATTACACATATATTTTATAGCATAACTTTGCTCTCCAACTTTATTTAAATTCTCAAAAATTATTTTGACTATGAAAGCATGCAGTAGATGACCTATCTGGAAAAGGTTATCGATAGTGAGTTGCTAAATAAATTCATATAATAAGTTACAGCATAAAAAAAAACCCTCGAAAAATGTTGATTTCTTACAAAAATCCGAATTTACACTTTTTACCCCCAAAATGAGTAGTATTTTGGACGAAACAATAAAAGTAACAGTCCAATCATGGAATGCCATACCTTGCTGAACTCGTAGTAAAATTCCCAATCGATTGGCATTTAAACCTAGAAAACCTAATTTTTGACCGATTTATCAAAAATGCAAAAATTTGTGATAATTTGAATTTTTGTAAATCAGCCGGAAAGCGATAGAAATCGATTACGTGGCTTGTTAGCTGTTCATAGCTGTGCGTCTTTTGGGTGTGAGACCTGTTTTGGCCAAGTTACAGCAAAAAAACGCATCGAAAAATGATGATTTTTTACAAAAATCTGAAGTTACATTTTTTTTACCCAAAAAATGAGTAATAATTTGGCCGAAACAATAAAAGTAGCAGTCCAAACATGGAATGCCATACCTTGCTGAACTCGTAGTAAAATTCCCAATCGATTGGCATTTAAACCTGGAAAACTTAATTTTTGACCGATTTTCGCAAAAATAAGTGATGTTACCCCTTGTCAAAAATGCGAAAATTTGTGAAAATCTGAATTTTTGTAAATCAGCCGGAAAGTGATAGAAATCGATTACGTGGCTTGTTAGCTGTTCATAGCAGTGCGTCTTTTGGGTGTGAGACCAATTATGGCCAAGTTACAGTAAAAAAACTCATCGAAAAATTTTGATCTTTTCCAAAAATCGGAAGATACACTTTTTACCCCAAAAATGAGTAGTATTTTGGACGAAACAAAAAAAGTAACAGTCCAATCATGGAATGCCATACCTTGCTGAACTCGTAGTAAAATTCCCAATCGATTGGCATTTAAACCTGGAAAACTTAATTTTTGACCGATTTTCGCAAAAATAAGTGATGTTACCCCTTGTCAAAAATGCGAAAATTTGTGAAATTTTGAATTTTTGTAAATCAGCCGGAAAGTGATAGAAATCGATTACGTGGCTTGTTAGCTGTTCAAAGCAGTGCGTCTTTTGGGTGTGAGACCAGTTTTGGCCAAGTTACAGCAAAAAACGCATCGAAAAATGTCAATTTTTTACAAAAATCCGAAGTTACAGTTTTACACCTAAAAAGAGTAGTAATTTGGCCGAAACAATAAAAGTAACTGTCCAAACATGGAATGCCATACCTTGCTGAACTCGTAGTAAAATTCCCAATCCATTGGCATTTAAACCTGAAAAATTTATTTTTAGAGCAATTTTCGCTTAAATTCTATGGAGAGTCTTAAAATATGCAAAATTATTGTTCCTACAATCAAATAAAATCCTTTTTAAATACCAAGAAGTAGACAATAGGCAGCTCCTTCCGTCGATGGGATATTCTTTCAAAGGATATTCAGGAGCAGATAGTCTCTGTGTGAGGCACCAAAGCACAGCAAGAGGTCCTGTGCTCAACACCGCCCTCCGTGGTCCTTTCTCGTCCTTTGGCTGTGAGCCATTACGCTTGGCAGCCGTCCAACTATGGAATTTCCGACAATTGTTGCCATGGCTACTCCACTGCCACTGCTGCTGCAATTTTGCGTCATATTGTTTGCTGATTTCGTTTCGGGTCTAAAAATAAACAACTCAACTCGATTTCAGCCAGTGCCCGCCCCCCAAAAAACCCCCAAGTGGGCAAGTGGGCAATGGGCGGTGGGCGGTGGGCCGCCAATCAAGGAATGGCCGCTTTGGCTAATGATAAGCCTTGTTTTGTTGATGTTGTTGATGCCGCTGTGGCTGTGGCTGCCATAAAATCATTATGATTGCGTATTATTCTGTCATTGATTTTAATTTTAATGTGGAATTTATCTTGCGCTGGGGCGTAATGCGCTTAAATGCGTATTTATTATGCTTCGCAGAGTTCAAAACTTGGCCAAATCATTTTGAGTTTAGCTTGGCTAATCAGTTGGGTAAGTAAATCAAGTCCGAGTGCTTAAGGGCACGGCTTTTTTTGAAAAATGAATAATGTTTTTATTTAAGTTCTTGAACATATTTAAATATGTATATATAAGTATATCGGTATATCACTTGTTATGTATTATTTTATAGACTTTTATCCTTTTTGTTGCAAAAAAATTACACATAGTTCATGACGTGATTCAGTTTATTCTGTATTGTATTTAAATGAAATCTCTTTTAAACGCAACGCACAAAAATTGTTCAAGCCAACATATTAAATTAGATATTTAGGTAATTAAATTTAGAATTAATCAAACAATAAGCTTAGTTATGGTAATTAAGTTTGATACTAACAATAAACGTATTTATTAAATTAATATATGAATTGTTATAATGGAAACGTTTCTCATTTGTGTTTAAAGCGCGTCGATGATAATTATACTTTAAGCTTACAATCCAAGTCTAAATCAGATTATTGCAAATGTAAACAAGTGTCAAGTGATGATTAACTTTTGCTCTGCGGGTGAAATGTGTGAAATTTTAGACTAGATCTAAACGTAGAGTATATATAATTCGCTTATATAAAAATATATTTATTGGTGTATTGAGTTCTTCACATTTTGCAATTTTGAATTGGGCTTCCTCTTTAGTTTCTGTTTCCTATTGAAATGTGTCCTTCGCTTAATCATTACTTTTTTCAGTTTACATTTAAAATTAATTTTACTGAGCCCTACACTCAAAAATATGTCCGAATGCTTGGCATGCTCTCAATTTACTAAATACACTTAGCCGAATATGTACGAATACAAAAGATGAACGATTACAATTTCGAATTGCGTTAGACATGGTTACAAAATGTGCGTTAAGTACACGCCGCAGGATCGAATTACTTTACGAAGTAGCTAAATTAATTGTTTTTAATATATTTTCTTTAGAATTAATTTAAGTAACGGAATTCGCTGTGCCTAAGAATGCAAAACAAAAAGAAATATGAATATATATTTTTCCTATCATTTAAAATGAAATTGATCAGAGTTTAAATATTAAGTTAACTGGTTGTGGCTTCGACTACTTTAAAGGCTTTTTCTTTCCTTGCAGGAAATACTTCTCAAATTGTGTTTTAAATATTTAATTCAATTTTGGTTTAAAATTAGAATTAAGCACTGCGTAGGCTTTAAATAATTTAATTCATTTCATTTTAAATATAACTTAAAACAAAATTACTGAATGTGTTTCACTTAAGTCGTTCTCACAACAAGAATATAATTTTTTTTACGATTTTCAAAGATTTTTTGTTAAACTTATTTTCTCTTTTCCTTTGCCGCTTTCTCTCCTTTCTTTTCTGCAGAGACTGATCCTCATCCTGGACTCAACTCATTCATTCTTCCATTCGGTTTTGTTAGTTAGATTTCACTCGCATTATTCTCAAATTGGAATGACCTTCATTAGAAACATGTACTTTTGTTTTTCTTTTCTCTCTTTATCGATCTTTACAACATTTTATAGGCTTACGTTTTAATGATAGTTTATGATAAGTTTTACTTGTTATCCTTTTCTAAATGTTTTGGCTGTTTTTTGTGGTTTTTGTTTTTCTTGCTTATATAGGAAAGGGTGCAAAAGTATGGTTTTTGGAGTGTTACTCCCGGCAATTTTGGCATTGTTTTTTGTTTTTCTTGGAAATAGTAAAGTTTCGAAATTTCAACTGACGTTCAAATGTTTTAAATGCATTTAGAAAATAAATAGGATTTGTTTTGTTTTATTTTGTGTGTGTTTGCTTTCTTCGAAACGAATTCTTCAGGAATATTTTTAGAAAAGTGAGCACCACGCTGGATTGTGTGTTTGTTTGTTGTTTTCTTTTTTGATACGGAACAAAGTTGGGATAATATATAGATGTGTTTTTCAAAATTCTGCTCTGCCTTTTTGGGGGTTTTATGAAAACATAAACCACCTAGACCGTAAAATCTCCCGCCGCCCAGTTCATCTTGTAGTCGTCCATGTTGAACAGATCGAAAATATCGCCGCTGGCATTGAAGGCGTCCACGGCTCCACCGCCGCTGTTGTCCACGCCCATTCCTCCACCTGTTCCATTGGCCATGCTCGTCGACGTCGCGTATTCGCCGTGTTGGCCCGCCTGCGGTTGGGTCACCGCCTGCATGAAAGAGTTGAGTGTGCTCTCGAAATCATCGCAATCCATTGGAGTGCCGTGGCTGCTAAAGTGGCCATTCACCGCCGACGACGAGGATTCCATGGATCCATTGCAATTGGCCCCCGGACTGTTGCCATTGCCGGTGACATGCTGACTCAGCTGGGCCACAAAGCTATCCGCATCGAAGTCCACATCGGCACCCGGATTGTTGTTTAGCAGCACGCCGTCCGGACTGCTGGCATCCAGCAGCTCATTGATGGACGGCTGCAGGCTGGGATTGAGATCGCGTCGCAGGTTGCCGTTGTTGTTGCCATTCTTGGCCGCCGAGGTGTGACAATAGCCACTGGAGTCGTCTCCCATGTCCATCTCCAGCTGCTGCGACATGAGCTCCAGCAACTCGTACTCATCAAAGTGATTGAGCTTGGCATCCGGACTGTTGGGCTTCTCGCTGCCGCTGTGACAACTCTTGGGCGGTGTGCTCGGCGGGGGAGTGGCATGGTGCTGTTCCAGGAAAATGTCCAAGGTCTTGGCCACACTCTCGGCATCGATAACGCTTGCATCCGCCTGCAGGGGCGAGTCCATGTCTATGTTCTCGATGAAACCATGATTCGTGGGCTGAGCGGTGGCGAAGTTCACGTGCGCTTCATTCGTGTCCATGGCCATGTCGAGGTTTTGGACAGGCGTGGCGGGCGCCTCCAGCTTGGGTACCAATGGCACTATGCTGGCTCCACCCGCCGCCGTGGTGGGCGTGGCCCCATTAAACATGGATAACTCGGGCAGCGGGGTAAGCGGTGTAATGGGCTCCAGGGCGGCACTTTCCGGCAGTTCGCCCTGCTTGATTAGTATGTCCAGAACATCGCTGACCTGTTCGGACTTGATGCCCGCCGACTTCCGTTTGCTTACAGGAGCCGTTGGTGTCAGAGGAGCTGCAGCCGGAACGGGCGATTGCACGGGCTCCTCTTTAATCTTCACCAGCGGCAGGAGGCCATTTAGAGCTGCCGCCTTGCTGGCCGCCAGTTGCTTGGTGGCCTCCTCATACTGCGGTGGTGGTGCTGGCGAGGGCTTGATATCCACCTGGATGAGTTGCTGCTGCTGTTGCTGTTGGACAGGCTGGAATTGCTGCTGCTGGAGCTGTTGCAACTGCTGCTGTGTGATAATGGACTTGGTTTCGATGGGGAAAACAATGCTGGGCAGGGAGTTTGTGCGTTGGTGGCCATTCAGTAGCTTCTTGGGCGGAGCTGTGGCAGATGCTGCAACCGGAGTTACTGTTGCCGCTGGCGGTGCTGTTGTGGTGGTGGTCGTAAGGCTGATGTTGCCCAGCGTGTGCGCCGTCATGTGCTGATCGTTCAGACCCACCAGGAATATGGTCTGATTGCCCTCGTTCCATAACAGGCCCAAGTTGTTGTGATGCTGCGTGGCTGGCGGTGCTGTTGCCGTAGTCACTGCCGTCGGCTTGGCTGCCTGCAATATGGTTGTGGTGGTTGTATTCGTATTGCTGCCGGGCACATTGGATTTCTTGGTTGTTGTCTTGGCAGGAGCGTTATTTATGTGATTGTTGTTGTTGAATGGAATGAGTACAGTTTGTGTCTTTTGCGTGAGCAGGCGCACCTGTTGCTGTTGCTGCTGTTGTTGTTGCTGTTGCTGCAGTGCCTGCTGCTGCTGTTGTTGCTGCTGTTGTTGCTGCTGCTGTTGCTGTGCGGCAGCAGCTGCCGCTGCCTTTTGCTTCTGGATTTTGGCCTCCAGCTGCTGCTTGACCACCATTTTCTGGTTGATGGGAGGTGGATTCGATGAGGAGGTGTTGCTATTGCTGTTAGAGTTGCCGCTGGCTGGCTTCTTGGCTGCTGATCCCTGCTGCTGCAAACCATTCACCTTATGGCTATTGCTGGACCCACTAGCTTTGACCGTCACCTTGGCTGGTATACTCTTTTCCACCTGCTGCGGCATTACAGTCAGCGTCTGCTGCGGCCCATTCGAAGTCGTGGTGATCAGCGTAATCTGCGAGGGCAGTGCATTCACCACCTGGGCTGTGACCGTCTGCTGTTGATGCTGCTGCTGCTGTTGCCGCTGGCGTATCTTTTGCAGCTCCTGTTGCGATCGCTGCAATTGCCTCTGCAACTCGTCAATCTTGCGCTGTTGCTCCCTAAGCAGTTCCTCGTTGGTCAGAATTATGGTAGCCGTCTGTGGTTGAGGTGGCAGAATGGTCTGCAACGCCATAGGATGCGTGTTATCCAGCTGTTGCTGCACAACATCCATCTGCTCGTGCTCCATGCCCGCATCGGAGACCAACATGGTCACTGGTGCGGGTTGGTCCACCAACCCGCAGTTGCTGGTATCCATGGCATCGCTGATGGTGATCACTTCGGTGGTGGTGTTGCTGCTCTGGGAGGCAGGAGTTGGTGCCACATTGCTGTCGAGTGCCTCCAACGGGAGATACGGTTTCAGCCGCTCAATAAGATGCGGCTTGGGTCCCGAGACTGGTAAATTCCTGCGCTTTAGATGCTGCTTCAGGTCCGACACCTTCATCTTCTCCAGCCGGGTCAAATCCGTAATGGAACTGGTGGTTGATTCGGCATAACTGGTGGCCGGACTGGGCGGAATCGAGGAGCTAACCGAAAGCGCCGGCGAGGGCAAGGGTGGCGGATGTTGCACTGCAGTTGGTTGATGCAGCTGGTGTTGTTGCTGGTGCATCTGCACTTGTTGCTGCGGTGCAGCAATCAGCGATAGAGTGGGTGGCGTGGGTGTGGCCGCCGGCGTGGGCGTCAACATAGCGGCATCCCCGAAATTCAGTGGGGCTCCTCCCGAGCTGCTCGTTATGGAAATGGTATTGGGCAGACTGATGGGAGCTGGAGCTGGAGCAGATTGAGAGGCCAGTGCTGGCACCGTCTTCGTGGTCACCGTAATGCTATTGTTGGTCGCACCAGGAGCTGAGGGAATCATAACACCCGGCGCACTGGGCGCTGGGATGATGGACTGATTCTTGTTGAGGTTCTCCAGGAACTTCAGCAGGCAGTTCTGCTGCTCCAACATCAGCTGGTAGGAGGTCTCCTCCGGCTGCGTTTGATCCTGCTTCTGGCCAGCGGCACTGGGTGGCCCCTTGTACTCGTGGAATTTAATAGTTCGCGCCTTGGACACTGGCTTGGACTTGGATTTCTTCCTGTTCTTATCCTTTCCGGGAGCATCGGACTTCACGGACACGGGCTGCAGGTGCAGACGTGTGGTGGTTATCGGCGGTGGTGGCGGTGAGGCGATGGAAGACAGGGGACTCAGCGTGGAAGTACTCGAGGCCATGGAGCAGGGCGATGCCAGCATGGGCAGGTACTGGTGGTTCATCGGACTCGCTGTGGCTCCCGTCACGCTCTGGCACAGTTCCTCGAACAGATTGGCCGTTTCCTGCTTCACCTTGATGACACTGGTCACGGGCAGCGGTGGTGGCGGCGGCGGAGGTGGTGGCACTGGCGCTGGCACCACCACAGCCTTCGGTTGCTGCGGAAGAATCTGCGGCGAGGTAACCACCAGTTGACCAGCTGTGGGCATGGTCAATGCCATGGTCACAATTCCCGCAGAGGCAGCCGCCGCCTGCAGCACGTCGGTGGGTGAACCGGTGGAGACTGCCATCGCCTCATCCAAACGCGGTGGCGTCTGCCGCGTATCACTCTCCGAGCTCAGCGAGTCCTCATCGAAGGTCACATAACTGTGCGGATGCTGGGGCCTGGTGAGCAAACCCTCGCTGGTGGCCTTGAAGGAAACGAGTCCTTCCTTGACGATCTTCTCGATCGGCTTCTCCGTGTGCAGGATGTTCTTCTTGATGAGCTCCAATGGACCAGGACGATGTTGGATCTGCGAGTTGAGTTGGTCCGCCAGGCGAGCCTTCTTCAGCATGCGCTGCTTCTCCGCCAAACTGGGATCGATGTGGCACTCGTCCTCCTCCAGAATGTGTAGCCTCTCCAGATCTTCGCGATTCGGCCGCTGCTGGATCTTGGCCTTCAGCAGATCGCTGGTCTTGGCGCGCTCCAGTTGCTTGCATTGTTCGTGGATAGCGGGCGAGGTTTTCAGAGCTGTGAATTAAAAGAAAATTGAAATTAGTTAAAGTGAAGTGTGTAGTTTCGGGTCTAAAAAGTAAACTAACAATTTCGCTCGCGTATTCTTTAGCTTACATTATTAATTTTCATTCGCGAATTCTTCAGACTACCTTTTCCATTTGCACTAGGGATATCTTTAGATTATAATTTCAATTTTCATTCGCGATTTAATTAATATAAATTTATTTAATGTTTTAGAGTAAGCCCAGTCTAAGCAAATTAGTTTTGACAGAAATGCGTGTTACGTTTTTAATGTTTTGTTTGTTTGTTTATTTTGCCATTTCAATGTTAAAGACCTTCAAACATTTCCATTAGTTCAACAGCGTGTGAAGAATATTTGCCTTTGGACTTGCTCATCAACATCTAATAAATTTAATGCATTTCCTAGCCATCTCGACTACAGCCTTCCCCCATTTTGGATACACAAAATGTATTTCTGATCCAGTGACCAAAAGATGGCTCAGTTTTTCCTCGCTCTTGGCGCCTCAACATTGCTGGAAATTTATCATTTAAATTCAAATTCACTTTCGGCTGCGTTGAGGGCTTTGAATTAGTTTGTAAATTTGCGTATTTCCCAGGATTCTTTTCCTTGGTTTCGCTTCTTTTCCTTTGCGCATAAATTTGAAAGCCATTGAAATGAAATGTTCTAAGGCAGTATTTGCATATCCTTTTTGGGAGCCGATGAATTGGGCGCCAGCAGATGCTCTGAGCCGGCTAAGTGAGGTTAATGTGTATTTTATCGATCTGACTAAGCGGCTAAAGGCTGTGACCCGGGGGCAGGAACAAAATCTGCTTTTCGGACGCATCTACTTACATGGTATGATGCCCTGCTCGACGAGTTGCGAATGTGGACGTCGCACCATGAGCTTCACTTTCAGCGCTGCAAAAAGATGGAAGACCAAAGAAGCAAGTTAGTAAAGCTGCACCAGTTGTTAGTGGATAGTGAAAAAAAAATCAAAAATAAATTACTCTACTTAACAACAATTGTTTAAGGTGTGATTAAAAGGGAAATTCTATTATTATAGGTGTATCTCGCGTAATCTAAAGCACATTTCTTATAGGTTTGGTTATTTTAAAAAACACTGCAAAGTTGTATTTCATTTTACTAGAACATGATAAAACTTTTAGAAAACGATCTTGATTTTCACTGTTAATAATTGCTCAACTTCAATTTAGGTGCTGGAAGAGTAAAAGTTAGTTAAGCTGCATGAAGCCCGCAACTTGTTAGCAACAAATCAAAAACCACAAAAATCATAAATTATACAACAATGCGCGGGGAAGTGGAGATCAAACATAGGAATCCCATAAAAAAGTGCTCGAAACAGCTGGGGGAAATAATTTTTGGGGCGAAAAGTTTGCCTTTTCCTAGCCTTTTGACAATGCCAGGGCAATGGCAATAAATGTCGAGAGGCAGCTGCGAATGGGAAAAACAAGGCAGCGCGAAAAAAGGAAAAGTTTTTAATATCTTTATGTGCGGGCTATTATGGTGTGAACAATGTGTACGTATATTTGCCAAGAGTAAAAAGTTCGGGGCTGGAAAATTAAATATTTAAGCCAGGCGAAGTCTGCAGTCTGGCGACGAAGGTGTGGCCCCATGGGGCGTATGCGTAATAATCTGATTAGATTGCCACTGCTCGGGGTGGCTAAATAACAGATTGATGTCAATTAGCTTGGCATCCAGTCAATGGAAGCCGCTGTGGAATAACGACAAAGTGACAGACTCATGGCGAAATAAATAATGGAAAATAAGGAAACTCCTTAAGCCCACCGAACTGACTTTGAAAGATGAGACAATACCCTCTCAAAGTCGCTCTTCAAATTATAATCGCAAAGCATATAAAATAATCAATTAATGGGACATTATCCTTTCAACATTAAATCCGGAATGGACGATTAAATGCGTGCAAGCATTGTGTAATGTAATTTTAGTCTCCAGGGAATGTTTTGGCATATTAAGCATACGACCTCCTGTCCTAATATCATTACCTTCAATTAGCATTCCGAGCACTGGCGAAATTGATTCACAAAATGGCCAGCCAGCCATGTAATTAAAACGAAATAAAGCCCATTAAGGCGCAGGACACTGCGGCGTGGAGAAGTGGGCCTCATCTGTCTATCGAAAGCTGAAAGCAGGGAGCTGAAAGCTGCAAACTGGGGGTAAATAAAGCCGAAGCCGCAAATGAAATGAAAACACAAAATCTTATGCCCCTACGGCGATTCGGGGCAGCAAAAGCCACCCGGAGGGCAGTGCACTGGGTGTTTTTGCGGCTAGCAACCAAGGCCAGGAATGAACATTAAATACCGGAAATGCACAGGGATGCAGTAAAGAGCAAAAAGCTTATGTTTGAATTAACCAAGAAAAATGTCATTTAATTATTTCTGTAAAGCTGAAATATTTGGCATTTAATTTACTATATGCAGATAAATTTTATTCATTTAATATTTCTCTATTTCAGAATTTCATTTTTTTCAGGGTGCCTCTTTTTGACATTAAACACCGGAATTGTGCAAATATGCAGTACGAGTAAAAAGCTTATGTTTGAATTAACCAAGAAAAATGTTATTTAATTATTTCAGTAAAGCTGAAATATTTGTCATTTAATTTACTATACTATACTATACAAATATGCAGTACGAGTAAAAAGCTTATGATTCATGTTACCAACAAACATTTCTTTGAATTATTTTAGTAAAGCTGAATATATTTATATATTTAATTTACTATCTATATCTTTTTTTTGTTATATCAAAGCACATTTCAATACATTAAATGTTTTGAAAATTCATTTTATTTTTTTCAGAGTGCATATAAATGCATTGCCCTCTTGTGGCATTTTGCACTTTCGACTTTTGCGGCTTGTGTGCATTTAGTGTGCAATCCAAGTAAGTGGGTTAGCAGAAGCCTTTCCCCCGTTGTATTTCATTTTCGATGCTGCCCAGGCAGACACAAAAAACACTTGACGCCACAACAAAGTCGACATCAAAGTGACGATGACGTTATTAAAGTAATTTGGGCTCTTTGTCGGAAATCATCATAAAAAGCCAAGAGAGCTGCCAAGGCGCGTAATTGTCTCAGAAGACGGCGGTGGCAGCTGTTGGCGATTTTACGATTGAAGTGTGCCACACAAAAATGTGTGCAAAACAACCAAAACAAAAAACATTAGAAGGAAAAATAACCGAAAACAAATTCTGGTTTTTGTTTATGGCAGCCAGGGAAAATACTCGACTTTTTGGCCATGTAACACTGGAAAATCTTCTCGGTGACGATACTGTCGCCCCCGTAAATTAATTATGCGCGAAATTTTGTTTTGCTCCTTGTCGACACACACCTCCAACCTCCATCTCCAACCACCTCCCCACTCGATTGATAAAAACAATAACATAAATTCCAAATTAAACACATAAAACTTTTATGCGAAAAGCAATAAATGTGTGTAGACATGGGCAACGAGTTTCTTATAGAATGCCTGCTGGTATTTGGCTGCGGTCAGCTGCCCTTCGCCGAGAAAACCCAGTGCCTGTGGCGAAGGTCAGGTAAACAATGGCCGAGGAAAATTAAAATCTGGTCAGAGAGCGGAAAAACCTGGGAGAAAGCGAGAGAGCGCCCCCACAAGTCTTTATAGGTAAATGCGTGTTTATACGTTGTATTATAAAATCGATTACGTGATCAACTAAACGAAGACGCCATCATCTGAGCAAGGCAAATGCATGAAATGGCAACCAAGGGGCAGGCACAGTGGGCCAAACAGGGCACTAAAGTGCTCAGACAGTAATTTAAGATGTTTTATATTTTTTTAAGTAAAATTTATGAAAATAACCTATTCTTAAAAAAAGTCTATTGACTTCAATAAGGGTGTCTAAAAGTATGCAGTGAATAAAGAATAGTAGTCCTTCTGAATGAATTTATGGCACATCTGAGTTTAAAACATTTTGTTGCATACTTTTAGACAGCTAAAATGACTGGCTAGTAAGCCTCAGAAATGTTTCCAATAAATGGCAATAATTTAGACCATAAAATAACCCAATTCAAGTCCATTTCCGATCCCAAAAACCAATGTGCAGAGGCCACCGAATGCCAACTGAAAATGCCTTTACAACTGTCGCCTTGCCACCGTTTATTTCCGCTCTTCCCTGCGTTTTCGAGTCGCGTGCAGCGTGTTTATTTGTCAAAACATTTCTGCAGCGCCGCCATCATTGACTGCCAGCCATGTGTTTATAATAAATTTTTTTCACAAAATGTTTACACACCCTGAATTGAACTGACCAAAACCAAAAGGCCGAGAGGAAAAAAATGGGAAAGAGCTGGTGGTTGTTGCTAAATATGCAGTTTATTGTTAGATAACTTGTTGGGCGCCTGCCGGAAATTTTCACCATACATTTTTGGCAGTTTTCGGCGAGAAATAAACCTTGTTTTCATAAATATTTGGATTTGCATTTAGAGAGCCTTTTTGGTCAGGGTCAGGCCGTGTGAACTTTTGCGTCCATTTCCGGTTGCACCTCAAAAATCGTGCAAGTGCAGGCGACACGAGCTGACAAAACTATTAGCAACGTGCAGTATATATATACGATATAAGATATATATATGCTAGATCCACACCATGGGTCTGTCATCTTCGGTCATTCAAAATTAATAAGAGTATTTCTCTTCACTCAAAATGCCAAGCAAATATGTAGGCCAGCCAAGAAAGAACGGAACGGAAAACTGTTGACAAAACACAAAAACCATATTTTTGAATGAGTTTTCGACCGCTGCCCGCCGGAGGGGGCGTGGCAGCACCTCAAGTGTACGCCTTAAGTGCCTGTTGCGCCGTGACAGCTTCATTAAAACTGTGTGCGCCCTGTAAGAGTCACCACCCCACCCCAACCCGCAGGCGGACGTCAATAATGGGGCGGACCCGGGAGGATTGCGATGATGATGATGATTCTGGCGATGATCGGCGTGATGGGCATCTTGGGCAGCTTGGCAGTGGCTGGCATTTATGACTAAGCTGGGGGCACCAGATGACAAATGCCAAACAGCCGTCAAAAGATGGCCAACGTGGGCGACAACCATTGAGTAAACAAGCGCTGAACTAACAACGAAAGGGTTTTAAGTACAGTGAAGCGCCCTAAAATGGATTGATCGCCAGCTGTCAGCTTTTAGGCAGCTCATAAACATTACAAGTGTTGTAATATCTATCAGTAAAAACTAGGAAGTGATATATGGGTTATCCCATGCTATCTGCATGCAAGGAATCAAGAAATGGTTTGCCCTTCCTAATGTCTGAATTTAAGGCTACGTTTTATGTACTGCTTTCCCATTGCATTTTTCACTTTCGCTTATGGAATAGACCCCCTTCCAGTCAACTCACATTCTTTGTTCTTGTCCATGGCCGGTTGCAGAGGACTGGAATCCACGATTGCCTTTGGCGGCGACTGTCTGGCATCGTAACAATCTGAGTTGTTACCATCATCGCTGCTCCCCAGAAACGTGGCATGCAAACGCTGCTCACCTGAAAGCAAAAGGTACACAACTATTAGTAAAAGCTTATTTTGAAAACAGAAAACCACATTAGAATGAGTATTTTTCAAGTTAACCTTCAAGGAACATATGTACGTTTTAGACCTATTCCAACTAACCATATATATATATAAATCTATGGTAAATATTTTTAGAATCAATACACAACTCAAAACTTTATAGCTACAACTTTCACATCTTTCGCAAATATTCTTTGTGCTTAGAATGGATTCTTGCTAGTATAACCAACCATTCTAATGCAGTTTTCCTGACCCTTAAGATCACACAACATGAACCCACCCTCCGACATGTCGTCGTAGGCCTCGTGCAGCAGTATGATGTCCTGAAAGGTGTGCAAGGCCTTGCCGCTGAGCCTGGTGGCCAGGAGGCCACTGCAGGCAGCGCTTGAGATGAGCTCGACGGTGGTCAGCGGCGATGTGGAGATGGTGGCCAGCAGCGAGGAGCTGCCGCTGGCGCTGTTTCCGCTGCTGCTGCCGCTACTGCCGCTGCTCAGGCTGTGCAGGGAGGCGGACTTGACCAGCTGGCCCACCTTCTGGTTGCCGCTCGTCTTCTGGGTGGCCTTCAGAGTCCTCGAGAGGCTCTTGGTGGGCGACGTCGAGGTGGATTTGTTGAGGAACCTGCTCGCCGTCGCTGCACCGGCTCCCTTGGAACCACCACCGGAACTGGAGTTGGAGTGGCAGCTGCTGCTGCTGTTGCTACTGCTGCTGCTGCAGCTGCTCAGGCTGCTGCTGATGGACTTCTTCGAGGAGTTGGAACTGACGGACGAGGCGGGCGAGGCCGACGACGAGCTGTGGCCCAGGATGACCGCCTGCTGCTGATGTTGCTGGAGTGTATTTGTATTGCTGGCGGCTAGCTTGGTGTCAATGGTTATGGGTATGACACTGGTGGCCACCAGTTGGTGATGCTTCTGCTGGGCCTGCTGGTGATTGTGCTGCTGCTGCGGATGCTGGTGGGGATGCTGCTTGCTGGCCGCTCCTCCTCCGCCGGCTGAGCCCTGGAACCAGCTGGGAAAGTTGCCCTTTAGCGTGTCAATGAGATCCTGATCGAGCGTTAAACGCCACGATGCAGGTCCGCCGTCCACGCTTTGCGTCGACTCTGCAAAGGGAAAAAAACACATAAATTACAAATTGAAACAATTTTTAAAATATCTTTAAAGTAATATAAAATAAGAACAATTTAGTTACTTGATAGAATACTCTCAATGTTTATTTAACAAGGGGTATTAATAAATGAATATTTTTCATTATGTCTATTTAATTTCAGATTTAAAAGGTATATTTATTTACATTGCCAACAAGGTCATTTATAAATGAATTAAATGTTATTTCATTTTAAAATAGACCAAAATGATGGCCATTTTTTATTGTTGAAATCATTATTCATACATATATGTGCTGCACAAAAAAGCAGGGCATTTTTTCTTGGTAAACTTTTTACACAATTCATACATAATTTAATTTAAGTCAACCCAATTTTCAGCTGAACAAATATATTTTAAATAATTCATAAATATCAAATGATTTTTATATTTATAAGACCCAATTAAATACATGCTATTGTCATTCCTATTTAAGTTCCACCCACATTTAATAGCTGAGGCCAAACCAATGCATTAATTTGCCATGATTTAAAACGCGGTGTTAATTTGATTTTCCATTTTCCACATTATCCGCTCTATGCTTTTCCTCGCCACACTCACATTTATTTATTTTAATGTGGCTTTTCCGACGATTCTGATGTTGCTGTTGCTGCTGCTGGCGATGTGGCCACTGGTGTGCTAGTTATTTATGCTAAACACTGCCAAGTAACCTAGTTTGTTGGCCCAATCCCCCTTCCCCGTCAACGCCCCCGCATAGAAAACATAGCAAAGCGCGTACTTGGTATTTATTTTTCAAATTCTTTTCTATTCGCCAATGCTGTGCGGTTCTGGGGCTCTGAGTTTCGTGTGCCTGATGAGATTTTGCGGCACTTTTTGGCTTGGGAATTGCCTCGGGATTGGGATATACATAGATTATAAATGTATAATTGCAATTTGCCGAATCACTGGGCGCACTGCTGCACTTACTCGTAACTGGTGGCGACAGTAATGCGAAATGGCGAAATTGCGCCGAAAATCTTGGCAAACGGCGACATTGCATCATGCGAAAGCGACATTCCCAGACACGCCTCGCATTATGCAATATTCGGCGATATCTGGCGACTACTTTTAGACGGCGATCGTCGGTTAAAAATAAGTACCATATCCCACCAAAAAAAAAACGACCAACTCTTAGCTGACTGACATGCACTTGTCAAATGTCCTCCTATTTCTGGCACTAATTTCTCGTTTCCTTTTCCTTTGATTGTTATTTTTGGCGGGCTTAAAAAGGTTTTCCTACATTGTCGTTGTCCGAATTTGAATATTTTTAGCCATTTAAAGAGAGACCCCATCGCAATTGTCGCATTTAGGTCGCCTCCAAATATCTTTGGCTAACACTGCGTGGGTCGAAAAACTGTCACACTTTCTGTTTTACTCAGCCGACTTGTTTGTTTATCTAAACTAAATTTAAAATTGCCACGCAAATAAATGGATAACTGTGCCGAGCGCTGCATTTGCACGCGCTGCGACATTTATTGGTCATTAAGGCGAGCGCCAGAGCAAAAGAAAAGCGGCAGCAGGAAAAGCTGCAGCAGCAGCAACAGGCGAGCAAACAAGCAAACAAAACAAACATACCAGCCAGCCAACAGAGAAGCAACAACAAGCTGCCCAGCAGCGGGATACACAGAGAAAAATATATAACAATAAGGAATTTAACTTGTATAAAATATAATACTTTTTAAAGCGATTTGTCAAAAGGGAGTAAGTGAGATCAATGTATGGATTTCCGGTAAATAATAGTTTTATAAAGATTTTCCGGCTAGATCCACAAAAACGTAAACTTATAGTGTCTTGAAAAAGGATAGAAATGGTAGCTTTGCTGTCTGGAGTGGCTAAACTGTTTTAAACATATTTTATTAGGCATGAGTCTATTTTCAAATAAATATTATTGGATTTATTAAAGATTATATAATATATCAAGGAAAAAAAGTTGTAAATAATCTCAAAAAATATTTATTAGGATAGTTTTTAGAAAGTATTCAACCTTAGATTAACTGAGTTGGTTTGTATAGTTGATTTTCTGAAATACATCAACTTAGTGGTACTACCCAATTTTTTTTTCTGTGTACCTTTAATGCCTGCCCCAATCTTTGCGTTTGGGCTCCGCTGTGTGCGGTGTCGCGACATGTTGTCCACACGCAGGCACATGCTTTTGAGATGATCGGACGGCGGACGAGGGAGCCACCAAAGCCATTGCCAAATTCTATTTTCGCGCCAACAGCCAGCGAATGCAAGTGGTTTCTCTTGGCCAAGACATCTCCAACCCGCTCGCCAGGGAGTCCCCTCGTCTGTCCTCCGTCCTTCACCCTTAACCCACCGCCCCTAGTCCCCTGCCCCGCCCCCACTCTCAACGCCGCCTTGGCCATTACACTTTGTCAACGGGGCGTATGCGCAATGCCGCCGAGGCAATGACAAAACAATTGAATTGACAAAGGAACCGAGAATGAAAAGGAAACCGCTGCTTCAAAGCGAAAATTAATGAATCGAAAAGAACAATTGAACAGGCGAGAAATTGCCCAGAATTAGTTGGCTTAAAATATTTCAACTAAAATAGAAAAAACAATTGCGGAATTGGCCACTTGCTCAAAATAAACTAGACATTGGTTTTGTAATACTTAGGAGGTGAACGAAAAGTGTGAAAGCTAAAATAGGTATAACAAATTTATATTTCTAATGGCAGAAATGCAAATTTGACAACTTTTAATGTATTAAAATACCATCAATGTCCCTCATAGTAAATTAGAAAATTCATTTTGTAAATAAAGTCAAATAAAATATATATTTCCATTTTCCCTTCCACTTGTTGCCATTATGTAAATTATAATCAAAGGCTAGCACACACACACACACCAACCCCCTGATGAATCAATAAATAGAACAAATACACACTCAACAATTTTCCAGAGATGTTGACAAATCTATAACCTTGAGCGGGAAAACTATACAAACACACACTCACTCACTGGTAAACCCAGCCAAATGGAACAGTTGAAGAATAAAGGACTTTGGGCCAGGCACTTAGTTTGATTTCATGGCCAGGAGGAGGACTCCATGGCCAAAACTAATCATTCAAGGCGGGGCGGAAGTTGTGGCGGAAGTTGTAGCCCAGTCTTCCGCAGCCGCAGAAGTGTGTGTGTGTGTGTGGTAGTGTGTGTGCGGTAGTTTGGCATGGTTACTTCAGAGTAAACATCAATTATGTATGCTGTATGCCGGCAGCCATACACGAATCAACGCGCCGCAAAGTATGCTACATTGAGGTTGCCCCTGCGTGTGTGTGTGTGCGTGGGAGCCTGCGTCTGTGTGGGCCAACTTCCTTTTGGCAAGACAGGAAACAGGATGCTGTTACCGTTACAATTCGACATAATCGATGCTTGTCGTACGAGGCTCGCATTTAACCTGGCAATTTGTCTGCGGCTGCATAAACATTAACTTTCATTTGCAGTTTATCTTCCGCAACACGCCATAAATCAAAATGTGAGCGAAATAAATAAATGGATCCCTGATACCTCCGGTACGGATGGCAAAACAATAAATGTTATAGGTTTTCAAAGGGTTTTATATATATTTAAAAAGGGACATTTTAGTTCTATGCAGGCTTTCATTTTTTTTTATTTGTAGTCTTTGTTTGTTTTTTAAAATTAATGTTCGGTTTATTCTATTTTCGATTTGTTGAAAAATATATCCTTGAAATGTATACGTAGTTGAGTCCAAGGTATTATAAATAAATTCTATAAACAAATAAATTTGGTAAACATTAAACATAATACCCAAAACTTCTGACCGTTCTAAAAGCATACCTTAATTTAAACTGTATGATAGGTATTTAATAGATTCTTTAACACATCAAAATCGTCCATATTCATTTTATATTCAATTATAACTCATAATTTGTGTGTCTTATCAAGTGACTCATCGCTCAAAAGATGTAGCTGCATTCAAATTATTAGAAACGTGCTACCTGCTGACTTTTGCACCTCGCAAATCGTGACCACTGCCATTGTTTATTGTTTCGATTTAGCGAAAACAATCTGCGAGATGCGACGTTTACATATTCATTTGAATGCCAATAACAGCTGCAGTGGCAACATTGCTGACAGCTTCGACAAGCGAGGATTATGCAAGCGCCATGAATCCCAAAAAAAAAAAATAAGAAAACCAAAAAAAAAAAAAAAGTACGAAAAAGAACCCCCCAAAAAAGTGGAAGGCAAATCAAATGGATCCGTGGGGGAAACATCGGAGCAATAACAAACAGAAAATCGCTTGCCATGTGTCGCTGGGTGGGTGTATAATGTATAATGTACAATGTACATGTATATGGGGCTGCAAATTGAAACGTATATTTGTAAACAATACGCAGACGTCATAGACAAAACTCATTTAAATGGGAAAAACATCCAGCAACAACATTTAAGCGGAAAAAACTAGTACCAACGATCACAAGCAGCACAAATTAAAAGTGTAGTACGCCAGAGTCAAGAAGCTGCGTCGATCGTTTGAATGCACTGCGCAAAAAAATTAGGTGTTTATTTATAAATCTTTAACTTTAAAAACTGTATATACGGTTTAATTTTCTTTAAGAATTTTCATAATAAAATTTTAAAACTAAAACTTTTGTTTCTGTGTGAATCAACGACTGAATAAGCTCTCTACCATTTTGGTCACAAATGTAAAAACGTGTTTTTCCACTCGCTCGTCGAACCAAAGATTAATACAATATATAATAAAACAATCTATGGCGAACGTTATTTTATAGTTTTTAATATGCATAAAGTGGTATTGCCTTTTTGGTGCAGCTTTGCCAGAAATTTCGCATGTTATCGCCGCTTGACAAGTGTCAGGTAGCCAACAACAACAGCAACAAACAACCAAACAACCGAGCAACAACGAACAACATGTGTGAACAACAATAACAAATTTCAGGAGCATGTTTAGAGGTGCGGGGAAATATCATCGGACA